TGTTACTAAAATGTTATGATTTTAGAAATTTCTCTGTTGTTCAGCTCTGAAATTATACTAAAACAATTATTCGCCTCAGGTTCTATGAATATTGTCGAATAATCCCCTCGACTTCGTCTCGGGGATTATTCGACGATATTCACCTTGCCTTCGGCGAATAATTGTTAATTATTATAAATGGGTTCATTTTAAAGGAAATTGTAGTGCTGCGTCGTTGGGGGGTGGGGGACAAGATAATTTTATTCTTTCAACTGAGCTGATAATGTAAATTGGACACCCTTACAAACAAGAGTTTGCAAGGGTCACGTTTCGAACGTTAGCCCTTCGTCAGAGAGAATAGAAGTACTGTAAGTTGTGTGTGGTTTCTAGACAGAAAAATGTACAAGCGTTCCGTTCTGTCACAAATGCTGCAATCTGCTTTGCTGAGCTACTCGCTGTCTGTTCTTAGATAGTGAATAGACAAGCCAAACAGTGTGCTCAGACTCTGTTTCATGTGATAGGTTTGCAGAGCAACTTTCAAATGAGTATTACCTTACTTTACTTCACTCTGTGATTTTTCTCCAAACTTTCAACCAATCAGATGCAAAACTAAAGCCAATCGTGACTTGATCGCCTGCGTTTTTTGCAGCGCTTCAGGCAGTTTTCCTTTTTTTTTTGTTACTCTGGGCTCTCATTAGCCCCTTTTTATATTTCCTTTTATTCTGATTGGCTGTCGTGGTTATATAGGATTACTACCATAAACGAGTAACAAATGTCACGGAACCTACCGATTTTTGTGGTAATGTACGGTTGTATTCTTAACCTGGGAATTTGGACTTGCATTGAATAAAAAGTACCCATCTCACTCTGCGTTTGTTCCTTTAAACCTAGTAAATATTCTAGGCTGATTTACGACCTTTCGGCTCGTCTTGGGTTACCCTGTCTTGCCTTCCATAGCAAGGGAAGTATAAACGACTTGACAACGGAGGCGCTCTGTACAAACTTGAGCCACCTGTGGTTTTACTCCGCGGTGGATCATCAATAAATTACAAAGATAAATTTAAGACAAGGACATTTCGCCACATTTACACTGCAAAGATACTTTACTTATTCTACATCTATCCGAAAAAAAAACAAAAAAAAACCCGATAATGAACTGTCGTTCAAACTGACAAGAACGCAACCTAGTGAGCAATCAAAAACGAAAAACAACATATTGAAAGTTTGTTTGGTCAAATCTACCGCTAAGGTCAAAGTTCTTTGCAACTTCATTAGAGTAATATGTCTGCCACACAAAGACAAACTGCGGGGATTCATATTTAAGTTTAAAAGCTGAATTTTAGATGAAATCATAGAAATATCTCACTACAGTCGAAAGAAAGAAAAAAAAGCGCTTGTGATATTAAATAATTATGTCCGTGGACATTGATCATTAATTTTCGTTTTTGTGGTTTCCATCACGGAAGAAGAAATTTCTCCGCGAACACTGTTTTCTGTTAAAAAGAAAACATTTGAGTTGCGTTTATTCCATACGAGCGGAGCTAAACGGATCCGACTGTTGTTGCTTATTTGACGACAGGGCAGTTACCAAATGAAATCCGTGTTAATTCTAACATTAATCTACGGTGTGGAAACGAACGACGTCATTTTACTCTTTCCTCCACTGCAAATGAGTTTCATTACACGAAAATAGCGCCCCGTCTTTACCATAAACGGTCGTGAAAATAATTTATAGAGTAATTAAAAGACACTCGTTACAACCTTTCAAGCTTCTGCGAGTAAAACGAACATATTTATCACTTTAATTATTCTTGATTACGGCGCGAAGTAAAGAGGATCGGATTGGCTCAAAAAACCATTTCACCATTGAGTTCAAAGTCAACGAGTGATGAGATGAAATGAAATCATGTGTAAACACAAAATTATTTTTTCAAATAACTGCCCTTGGCAACATGCGGCGACTGTTATCTGTAGCTGTACACATTGCTAAAAATATCCTCAAGGCGACAAAAAGCCTGAATTCCGAGAAAAAAGTAACGAGTTTTTCACTCCCTATTACTCCAGTTTCGTAGAGAAATAAAAACACGCCGTGAATTACAATTTGTGTCTCAAGGGTTTCCCACGGCAGTCACCTTCTGTTAACAGTTCACATCGCCCGACGGAAAAACCATTGTTGCAGAACGCCTTCGGTGTGAGGAATTGTCTGGTTGAATTAGAAAGTAGACTTAGTAAAATAACTCAGGATACCACGAAATCTAGCGATTACAAATGGCACAGACTATCACACAAAATGTGACGCTCGAGAAGATTTCGCAAACGAAATGACGATCACACAAACACATGATAACCCGTGTGTTCGAACTTTCAATCGATCGATTGACAAATTGGGACAATTAGAGCGTGCAATTCCTAGTTTTAACGCTAAATTGAACAAATACGACAGAAAGCCAAAAAAACTACACTGCTTTCGTGTTTTTCTTACAAAGAAGCAGATGAGCATGAGAACTGTTAAATAATAGTTACCGTACGTGATGAAAGATTATCCTTTATCGCTAACGTGGGGTCGTTCTTCGCTTGAAGACGATTTCACTTTGGGGTTAAAACACCGCTCAAACACGCAACGAATCGATCTGTTCTGAAATGATGTGTAAAGTACGCGAGCTCACTGATTTTAAGCACAATAAATTGGTCAATGTTTCTTGGATACGCTTCTCTCCAAACGCCTTAAGACTTGAAACATCTGCTACGGCAGCTGATTGGTTTCTGTGACGTCACTAGGGTGACAACCGCAATAGTCGCTTGCCTTCCCGATAAACAACTCTTTCTGTCGGATTGAAAACACTCGACTGTTGTTTATACAAAAACTTTCCGACGGCAATCTACCCAGTACAAAAATAATGATACCAAAAAAAGTAATATCAAACAGATCAAAACCTGGAGTTGCATCTTCCAGAAACATACAGTTCGCTTTCCGAATTAAACGGGCCTGGTTGTGTCAATTTCAGGTCGATGCAAAAGTTAATTATTTCAAACGAGAAAATACTTTTGGTAAAAATGGGATCATTGGGTACATAATTCACGCTCACACTTTCAAAAACAATGTCGTGTGAGACTCAACTTTTTCACAAAAAAAAAATTGGCTTCCAAAAATTAAGAAGGCGCGAAAATTGATTAAAATTTTCCTTGGCGAGAAAATAAATTGAAAAGTATGAATATTTACTTAACAAACAGGAGCGAACTCAAACTGGTTAGTTTACCAGCATACTGTCGAAGTTGATCTTATTTTATTTTACTTTTTTTTAAAGAGTGACCTAAACTGCTAGAGACAAAACTCATAGCTGCCTATATTAGCAGGATTAAGAAAAGTAAAATGAAACCAAGGCACATCGTTATTTTGAGCGGTAGTCATAACAACGCATAAATCGAAGGTATTCTCTAAGCATGTTGAGGCAAAAAAAAAAAAAAAAGGAAAAACCCAGAACACTTTTATCTAACAGTGCCAAAAGCTATCGCAGAAACATCTGATCGAAAAGTAGTCGAAGGTTTATAGAATTAGGTAATAAATAGCCTTATATTCATAGATCCAAAACAAATAATGATCGAAAATTTTTAAAAATTGTCGATAACGTTGAATGAAAAGCAAAATTGTAGAATTTAAAAAGCAAAGGGCACTGGTTCTATTAAAAAAAAATTTTCGGTTGCCTACTAAGACTATGGGCAGGCAAAATTAACGGAAATAAGAAAAAAAAAATTCGACAACGGATAATAAAAAATGAGCAGTACTTTCGTGAAATCCTAGCTTTTACCTGTGCGCTTCCAAGACCGCCACCAAGTTGAATTTCTTCCACCTTCTATTCCACAAAAGGAAATTCACCAGCCCGAAGCTTAGATCGTCAATTTCAGAAAGAAGTTATTCGCGAGTTTCGATGACATTGCAGTATTCTAACCAGCGCGCGCGGAGAGATTTTTCAAATGGAAAAATCATTGATGTACGCTCTGACATCTCATCGAAATACATTTGCATAAAGACAACAATTATAAAGACCACTATTGAAAATGGAAGGCTTAAAATCATAGAAAAGGCTAATGGAAGCTAAATGTAATCCCGAGCGAACTTCTTTGGAGTCTGTTGAGGCTTTTGTTAAACCAACCACGTTTCACGAATAATTACCAATTCCGGTATTTACAAGTGTTTGAACATCTGCGGACGTGAAACATGAAAAGAATAAAATACTGCCCATGAAACTCGGTAACATTCTCTATACTGTACGACTTCTATATACAAAACAGATAATCTTGATTCAAAAGGAATTTGCATTTACACAAAAAAAATCATCTCTTAAACGTTGATATTGCGTCTAAAAGTTGTATTGTTCCTCGGTACAAAGAAAAAATGTTCACTTTGTTTGCGCGAGAAAAACAGTTACCCACGTCATTAGAATTTCCACCGTTAATTGGCTGAGAGAAAGTTGTGAAATTTTCAGTAGCTTCACAGGACTAAGGAGAGAAAAAAAAAAAAAAAAAAAACAGAAAGTGATCGCAGTTTGGTAGTTTAGCGCATAACATTGAATTCTAGATTAAGTTGATTGCTCATTCACTCTCTACATGAGTACTTCAATTCATTCAAGTATATCACTTCTAAAAGTGTTTTCGCAAAAGGTGGATACAATTTTAATGGGGGCATCTTAAGTCTATTATATCGATTTTCATTAAGTACTCTATCGCAGCTAGTTCATACATAAAGGGGGTAAATTGTGAGAGAAAATGAAATGCTGCGTCGGAGGGAGAGTACAACAAGGTAATTTTGGTTTTATCAACTGAGTTTATAATGTAAACTGGCCACAACCAGAGAGAAATTAAAAGCTTTTTCATCGCTCTCAAGAAGAGCTAACGCTCGAAACGTCAGCTTTGGAGCTCTTTACGGTGGCCAATTTACGTTACGAGCTTCGTCGATTCAAGCAAATTACTTCATGCATAGATCGAAGTACACTAAGATACTACACCATTATTACTATAAAGAAAAGTGTTTAATCACGTTTCGCTCAATCACGTTTCGTGCAATCACGTTTCGTGCAATCACGTTTCGTGCAATCACGTTTCGTGCAATCGTCATAGCAGGACAACGCAAGTCGTTCTCCCTTGAGAACCGGTACACAAAAAATGAACGATATGAACTTTATAGCGATAGGTAAATAAATCGAACGACAAAATGCGATTATCCATGGTAAGTATGAAGCTGTTGCTCTCTTTTTGCGTAAAAACGTCACGGAAAAAATTTTAAGCTCACCAGCGTAACCTTGTCAACAATTTTGAACCTATGTAAGCGATCAAAGTTCTCTTAAAAATTAAATGAGTTTCAGTTTTCCAAAGAAAAAGTCGCGATATCTGAAAAATTTCGTCCAATCTTCTATCCAGCCAACAAGATTAACTGATACTGTCAAATGAGTTGATAATTGTACATTTGTCACCGTAAAGAGTTTCTACAGCTCACGTTTCGAGTGTTAGCGCTCCGTCGGAACAATTTAACTTCGTTAACAAAACAAAATTACCTGACAATACTCCTCACAGACACACCACCACAATTTCTTTAGAAACCAACCCCCCTTCATTAATCCCGGTATCGTACGTTAAAAAGCGTTGCAAGAATATTAGGATTGAGGTGGGGAGGTCGCTAAGTTTTGCATCTTCACTGAGTCTAAGACACTGCGTCGTTAGTCGTGCGTGGTCAGAATGTTTGGTTCTGACAACTGTTTTAAATCTTATTCTTGGAAAAATAGTCCCGAGAAACCACAGTCTTTCAAACTTTTTGTCCAGAACAAGCTAACGATATCAACGGATTTGGCCGCAAACAAGTCAGAAGTGTTGGTCCCGGGGGTACACCTCACCAATACTCTCATCTCCCTCCTCCCCTTGGGTTTTGACGCGGTACTCAAGTTCATTTGTGTTTTTTCCTCGCACGAAGCCTGGAAGAGAGGTCCTCTTCCCTACCTCATAGCTTCGCTCAGTTGATAGCGCAACATATAGCTATCTTATCTTAGCACCCACAGATACTTACTGAGGAGTGATGAAGGCAAGGAATAAAGATGAGCCAGCGATCAGGTCCCGTTGCTTCTCTTTCAGTTCTTGGCCTGTATTTCCCGCTAATACCCAGTCCCCCACGCAGTCAAATCCCGCCAAGTCTAACAACTGCTTCAAGAGTTTGACTTCGAGTTGTTGGTCTTCATGATAACTGATGTACAACAAAGATTTACCTGAAATGGGATATAAATGCGCTCATTACATGATGCTCATAAATGAAGTTCATCGCGAAATATTCTGAACAACAAATTGCTTCCAAATTGGTGGATACTTTTTAATAAAACAAGAGACAAAAAAAAAAAACAAAACTACGTATCAACAAGGGCGATGAAGGCGAAATACAGATAAAAAGGATTAAAATGACTCATTTTATAATCATTCCACCATTTACACCCTCACATCAGATCAGAATAGGTATTCTCCATACTGTTATCTGCACTTTTCTTATGGTTCTGACAAGGAGAATTTGTTTAACAATCAAAATGGATAATCAGTTGGAGATCATTTCCTTTATTCTCGTGACCTTAATGTTTGATTCAGGGGTGATATTGTAAGGAGAACTTTCCCATTTCAAAAACGAGTGGGGGAGTGGGTCCAGTTCGCCGCGCAAGTTGGTCTGGGATCGTTACTCGGGACACAAATCTACAGTAAACAAAGATTTGTGTCCCGAGTAACGATCCCAGACCAACTTGCGCGGCGAACTCGACCCACTCCCCCACTCGTTTTTGAAATGGGAAATCGAATGCTGGTCACTCTTAGCGGTTAAGGAGTAAAGCGAGGTAAAAAGTGACTTGGTATGTGCTCTCTTCTCAAAGTAGGAGTCTGACATAAAATTCTACACTGATGGCGTAAACGAGAGAAACAACCATTTTCCTGATTTAATAACTGGCCAATGGCGTCCTCGCTTTGTTCATTTAATGAACAGCAAGAGCAAAAGAGCAGGGATTGGAGAGAGGTCTCCAATGCCTCTCCAATCTGTTATCACTCACGGATCTCTGGAACAAGCTACAGACAACAAGCTATCGGTTTTATTCACCCTACATCTAATTATATCGTCATTTTTAAGTATTTTCGTGATGTATTTGCAGCATAGAAGCAAAGAGACACTTACATGCGATGTTCGCCAGCCAGCTGACGGTATCTGACGGGATTTCTGTGTGTTCCTCCGCATCCAAAGCTGAAGACCAGAAAATTATGACAGTTTAAACTGAGTGTGCAAGGTAAGCTTTGTGAAAAAAAGAAAAACCATATCTCACTTAAAACAAAACAATTCAGGCCTTCGAGGCTTGTAACTGACCTGCAGGGGGAATAAACCAGCGGTAGTTGGTATGATGACTCAGCTGTGAATTGTAGTCACTTACAAGCTCATACAGTGGTTTGTGCTTTGGTCTGTTACAACCAACAATGGGTACAAGTACCTGTTAATGTTAAAACAAAACGATGAGTAAGCTTTAACTAGTTTTCCCGGGCATGTACTGAGGTACTGTTTCGAGCGCCTTGTCGCACATCTGGCCTTTTCGCGCGCTTAGGTTTTCTCGCGCTTTGCGTCACTTTACCGCGTAGGACTAGAGCTAATAAATGTTCTAAAAATCTGTACGTAAGTCTCCAATTTTTCTCCAGAAATCCCTCAGACTATCTGAAAAAAGTAATAATTATGTAAAGAAAAAGTAAAGAAATATGTTTTTAGTCTAATCATGACCGAGGGACAAAATTACCATCGGTGATTTTCATGAGGAATTCTAAGGTTAGCAACAAAAAATTGTTTAAAATTCTTTGATGACCTGCAAGAAATGTCGTCAAGTTTTTAAACATTTAGCAATTGCGCTAGAGAGGTTGTCATTTTACACCGCTTGGCGAGCCTGTTTCAGTTGAGGAAAACTACGATCTTTAAGACTCGAGAGAAAGTCGTTTAATTACCATCAGGCAAACTTACCATTGGGCAAACCCCTTTGAAGTTCATCAGCAAGGTTTCTATACCGTAGAAAAACCTTGCCAAAACAGACCACATCATGTTTAGCGCCTGCTTGCTCCCAATGGTCACTTTACATCGGCCAATCACGTCCAAAGTTGAGTTCTCCCGTGACATTCGCACGGTCACGGGACCAACTTTCAAAATGACCCCATAGTTCCAATAGGCGCAAACTTCACAAGAAGGCTTCAAGTTTGCGCATGCGCCTATTAGCATCTTGGTGCAGTCAACAGTCACGAGATCGCGAAATTTGTAACGCCAGCCAACCTGAATGGTGCCGTCAGGGAGGGAACTAGGCCAGACAGTGGTATCCTGAACGTTATGGAAATAAGACATTTAATTTACTTTTAGGTGACAAAATAATATCACAGTGAAGGCTTGGCATCGATTTCATCAGGATAACACAGTCATTTCAACCAAAATGACATTTCTAAATGCAATTTAGTCATCACTTCTATTCTTCACCCCTTCTTAAAACTGTGATCTTTAGTAGTGCTTAGCATCTAATTTCCCCTTACAATATCAGCCCTGAATCAAACATTAAAGTCATGAGAATAAAAGAAATGATCACCGACTAAATAAGCTCTTGATTGTTAAAGAAATTCTCCTTGTCAGCACCTTAGGAAATGTGTAGAGAACAGTATGGAGAATATGCATACTGATGTTAGGGCGTAAAGGGTTAAAGAGAATAATACCTGTCATTTAATCAACACACCTTTAGTTCTTCTGGAAGCTTCATCATCAGTGGAACATAATATCTTTTGAACACTGAACATGACTTATACTGTGACATGACAAGTTCCACATCATAATTCCCTTTAGGAGCACCTTCCACCAGGAAACCAAGACTTCTGAATAAGCTGATTATATTCTGCAGTTCTTCTTCATCCAGTAATGTTGGTATCTGACATTTAAACCACAAAAAATTGTTGCTATGACTTGTCAAAGGAATTGAACAAAAATCACGTTAAGACTTAACCTTTAAACTCTTTGAAGTGATTAACATGTAACTTCTCCCTATGATATCTCAACATCACGCGGCAAACGGGTAATGATAATACTTAAACTTATGGCAACATAACAAACCAGAAGTTACCTTGATCTAACACCAAATTCATGTAGCTAATTTACAAGGAAACGTGTAGTGGCTAGAAGAGAGAATTAGCAATCAGATCTTGGGAGCTATAGGGTTAAAGCTGAACGTTGATACATTTGCCTATTGTATTGTATTGTATT